TATATATTTAATATCCACAAACAAAAGGTGCTCACATTGTTAAAGTGAAGTGTTTTATTTCCTGTAAAGAATCCAGTTTCTTATTCATACCATGAATCTCCAGCGATTGCTGCGGTTCTGATGACTCTTCCTTTCGTTTTGGAGTAAATTAAAGTGCTGCAGTTTGCTCGATCACTTATTCAGTAACAGCAGAGTGTGCCAACACATTTCAAGTGAAATAAAAAAAAATACTTCCTGCTTTCTTGTTCACTGCTCAGACAGGAAACAAATCTTTCACATACTCAGACACCAAGTGATGATAAACATGCCTGAAGCAGGTATTTCTTTCACAAGTTTATGATTTAAATGCACTTTCCATGCACTATTTGATGATGTGTGTGTTTTTGTGCAGTTTTGTGGCTAAGTGACAAAATGATTGAAAGCGTGTACGCAGACTGAGATGAAGACGTCTGTCTGTTTCTAGAATCTTCAAGGAAACAATGAAAGACCTGGGAAAAAAATGGAGCAAATGATTGTTGGCAATAAAACAAATGAGGTCATTCAAGGTAAGAGGAACATTAACTTTCTTTAGGGGGACGAACTAAACTCAGAAACACCAAACAGCTGAAATGAAAGAGTTTTGTCTTAAGATTTAAACCACGTGAACTACAGTAAAACACAAAAGAAATGAAATATTAAAGTCAAACCAGCATGTTCTGCAAAAATACGTAAATGATAAATGATTGTCGAAGGACTGATGAAACTTATAATAAAACCTGAAATTAAGGTGTTTGAATTTAAAACAATCTGAACAGAACTAGAATGAGTAAAAATATAACTGGAAACTAAAATGAACAAAAGTACAAGCTACTATAAGCAAAACAGTAAAAAGATAAAATAAGTAAACACTTGGCTAAAAACTAAGCAGCACGTTAGGTAAAAGCAAAGTTGTCAAAGTTTCAGCTAAAAGCTGAAATAAATTAAGCAGCGGGTAAAAGAAACATAACTGTAGCTAAAAGTTTAAATTAACAAAACTGTTGGTAAAATAGAAATTTCAGTAAAAAAAAAGCTAAAAATAGCAAACAGTGGTGCTTGAACATTTGTGAACCTTCAACATTTTCTATAATTATACATTAATATGACCTGAAACATCATCGGATTTTCACACACGTCCTAAAAGTCGACAAAGAGAACCCAGTTAAACACATGAGATAAAAACATTACACTTTGTTGTTTATTTATTGAGGAAAATGATCCAACATTACATATTTGTGGTGGTAAAAGTATGTGAACCTTTAGGATTAGCAGGTGAAATTAAAGTCAGGTGTTTTCAGTCAGTGGATGATGATCAGGTGCGAGTGGGAACCCTGTTTGATTTAAAGAACGTGCACAGTGATGGTTGGACATGAGCACCAGTGACCCCCGCGACCTGAAAAAGAAGAAGCGGGTAAAGATGATGGATGGATGGATGGATCAACGTCTGCTCTTCACAACATGTTTGTAGAAGTGGATCATGGCAGGAACAAAGGAGAGTTCTGAGGAGCTCGGAAAAAGAGTTGTTGATGCTCATCAGGCTGGAAAATGTTACAAAACACTGAAAGCAAAAGTTCACATACTTTTACCACTCACAAATATGTAATATTGGATCATTTTCCTCAATAAATAAATGACCAAGTAAAATATTTGAGTCTCATTTGTTTAACTGGGTTCTCGTTTTCTAATTTTAGAACTTGTGTGAAAATCTGACGATGCTTTAGATCATATTTATGCATTAATATAGAACATTTTAAAGAGTTCACAAATTTTCAAGAACCACTGTAACTTTGGCTGAAAGCGAACATGAACAAAACTATAAGTAAAATTGTAATGAGCAAATCTGTAGCTAAAATGAGCAAAACTAAAGGTAAAAACTAAAATGAGTGAGACACTGGATAAATGCTAAAAGCAGCATAAGAAGACAAATAGAAGAAATGAACCAAAGCTGATTTCAGAGAACAATGTTTCTGAAGGAATGGAAGAGATCTAAGTGTATTCCTACAGAAAACACTTATTCTAAGTGAAGTTAAATAATTTAAAAAGTCTAAAACACACAAGTCATATCGTACTATTCCTGACGGAGTCAAACGATTTGACAAAATTAAATATGAACATTGCACAAAGTATGCCAAAGTTGTTGGTCACAAATTAAAGAAACTTTGAACAAGATTACAACTTGATCAGTTTTTGTGAAGTTCCTCATCACTTCAATGAAGTTTAAGAAAAAAAGTTTTTAAAAAAATCAATCCAACGTTAGAAATACTTTACAGAAACTGAGCATTCTTATTTTAAACCTGAACCTGATCAGTGTTTTTGTTTGTCTAACTTCACTTGGAAGATTTTTCCTACTCAAGTCTTTTAAACTTATCAAATAAATGCAGCTTCACTGAAACGGATTTTTTTGAGAATGTCCAAAAGCTCAATCCAGAAGTCTTCAAGATGTTTACAAGAAAAGATGAAATGGATTCTCTGAATGTCAGAAATAATGACTATACAAGAGAGTTTGATCAGAACACGTGATTGTATTTCCATAGTTTTCATCAAGACTCATCCAAAATGAAATTGTCTAACATTGTGTCTAAAGTCCTCGGCGACCTCCTACTGTGGTAACAAACCATTAAAGCGGAGTTTGAATCTTTCTTAGGGTCAGTTTCCTCACTCCAAGCTACAGTTCATCACTTCCAGCCCACCTTCACGGCTCAGAGTGGCGGCAGCGTGGTCGCTCCTTCCATCATCGGCTCTTCCGTTGGCAGCATCAACATCAGCATATCAACAATCCAAGGTACATTGTATCAGTCATCAGCCAAATGTCCACACTTTGGCCTTATTTGATAAAATCCATCTTCTAAACATCTTTAATCCAGTGGTGTAGTCTATATTTTTGTAGCGAGTATATGGCGGTAAAGTTAGTTTTATGTTGGACGTTGGACACCGTTGAACCCACGGAGCAAGAATGTCCAACGTCTAACGTAAAACTAACTTTACCACTGCTGGTCTGTATGCCGCGCTTAGAAATGCAATTGTCAATTTATTTTGATTTTTAAGCATATTGAACATTTCCAAATTTCTCTGATTGAATAAACGAACAACAAACTTTTTACAGCACTTGGCTTTGTATTAAAAACGTGTTATAGAATTTATAAAACCGCATCAAAGCAAAACATGTTCGAGTTTTAAGTAGTAAGTACAGAAGTATTAATTATCCAATAATTTGCTGGATAAGTGAATGTAATAAACAAGCTCTGCATACAAATAGATTGTTACGGAAGTGTGTAACTGCTGTTTAACGTATCAATGACACGTGCCTAATGATATTTCATGTATCAATGGGCACTTTTAAGTGGGTATACAGAAATTCTTAAGCTTTTCTAGTGGGTATACTCCGTATAACTGCGTATCACGTAGACTACACCACTGGTTTAATCCTCCTACAGCCACTCATCTTACTGACATCCTGTTCATGTCAATGACCCACCACATAAACCAGGTATCGTGTAGCAGAGAAACATCCAAAACGTTCAGGGTGGTGCATCTTAAAGACCAGGGGAAACACTGAACAAGATGGTTTAGCAACTTTCCCAGCTGATTTTAAGTTCAAGTACTTTCTGTTTCCTGTGTGGGGTCTCACGATCGAATGTCCCTCTGGAGACTCCACAACTTGCCAACACATGATGCCACGATGCAGATCAGCTCGAACCCAAGATCCAAAATCAGTTCTATTTTTCTCAACACTAACATTAAATATCTATGTATAGCTCTTGCATGGAAGGGTGGGTGATATACATTGCTTTAAGGATATACAATGCAGCACGACAGTTCAGTGGTTAGCACTGTTGCCTCACAGCAAGAAGGTCCTGGGTTCAATCCCCGGTTGGACCTGGGGTCTTTCTGTGTGGAGTTTGCATGTTTCTTCTTGTGCTTGCGTGGGTTTTCTCCAGGTACTCCAGTTTCCTCCCATAGTCCAAAACATGCATGTTAGGCTGCCTTCAGGTCCAGGCCTCCTTTGCAAAACAGATCTGTGATCTCAATGGGATTTGCCTGGTTAAGAAAAAGTTAATAAATAAATAAGGAATGTTAGGTCTTGAATGAAAGTATTTGTTTGAAAGAGAAAATACTTTTTAGGTTAGAAGTAATGCAGATAATGCAATGCAGTTTTCACAGCTATATGGTAAAGTTGCAAAGGGGTGTACTTGCATTTGTTGTTATATGTGCTGAAACATAAATGTAAGAAGAATGTATAGGTCAAATGAATTTGGAGTCCTTCTGATCTTTCTTTTTATTCATTTTGCAGGTTTAAACGATCAGTTGAAAGAATCGCTGCATCAGAATGGAACAAGCAGTTGCTGCATTCAACAGTCCCAAAGTGAGTACTTCCTCTTTAAACCATGAGAAAGTTAATACGTTGAAAAGACCCAATGATTGCTCAATAATAAAAAAACAAAATTCTTCTAAATTATGACTTTCCTCAGATAAAACTGCACAGTGTCAACAGAAACTGAAAGCCACTCTGAAGAGAAAGTGCAGTCACTTGCATGACGGGATAACGACTGAAGCAAATAAGATATCGCTGGATGAAATCTACACGGAGCTATACATCACAGAGGGAGGATGTGGTGACATCAACAAAGAGCATGAAGTGAGACAGATTGAGAAGGTGTCAAAGAGATGTGTAACCCAGGAGAAATCGATCCACTGCAGCCGATTGTTTGTTCTTCCACCTGGAGGAGGGAGGCACATAAGAACTGTGGTCACAAGAGGAGTCGCTGGTATTGGAAAAACTGTGTCAGCCAATAAATTCACTTTAGACTGGGCAGAGGAGAGGGCAAACACAGAGCTGGATTTTGTATTCCTGCTCTCTTTCCGAGAGCTGAACTTGATGAGAAAGAAATCCATGAATCTTGTGGAGCTCCTCTGCGAGTTTTTCCCCGAAACTAAAGACGTAGAAATCTTTCACAACTCAACAAACAAAATGCTCTTTATCCTGGATGGTCTGGATGAGAGTCGTCTGCTCTTGGACTTCAACAAAGGGGAAATATTATCAGATGTGACAAAGAAAAGTTCAATTGCAGTCATTGTCACCAACTTGATCAGAGGAAGACTGCTTCCGTTGGCTCTAGTTTGGATCACGTCTCGCCCAGTTGCCTCCAGTCAGATCCCGGTGGAGTACATCGATCTGCTCACAGAGGTGCGAGGGTTTGACAACTCTCAAAAAGAAGAGTACTTCAGGAGGAAAATCAGCGACAAGAGCTTGGCAAACCGGGTGATTGCGCATGTGAAATCTTGCCGGAGTCTCCACATCATGTGCCACATACCGGTCTTCTGCTGGATGGCGGCGAATGTTCTCGAGAAGAATTTGGCAACAAAATTCAACAAAGAAACACCAAAGACTCTCACACAGATGTACATCCACTTCCTGTCTCTGTATGCAGACAACATGAAGAAAAGCCTCTTAGGCAGAAGGAAGTCCAATGCTGACAGTGTGAGAAATAACCTCCTTACGTTGGGTAAACTGGCTTTCAAGGAGCTCGAGAAGGGCCACCTGATCTTCTACGAGAGCGACCTCATCCTCAATGGCATCAATGTCTCACAGGCATCCACATTTTCTGGAGTCTACACGCAGATCTTCAACGAGGAGATGACACTGTGCAAGGAGAAGATGTTCTGCTTTGTGCATCTGAGCATTCAGGAGTTCTTTGCAGCGTTGTACGTCTATCTCACTTTCCACAACGAAAACACCAATGTCTTGGTCAAGAAGTCGTCCATATCACGCCGTCTCCTCTCCAGGGAATCGTCAGAGCTTATTCTCTACAAAGAAGCAGTAGAAAAGGCTTTGAAGTGTGAAAACGGGCATTTTGACATCTTTCTGCGCTTCCTTTTGGGCCTGTCACTGGAGACCAACCAGGCACTGCTGAAACATCTGATGACCAGCAATCGGACACACCAAAGGACAAGAACTGAAATCATTAAACACATAAAGGAGAGGATCAAGGATAGCCAGTCCGCTGACCGCTGCCTCAATCTGTTTCACTGTCTGAATGAGCTGAACGACCACTCTCTTGTGGAGGAGATTAAGGGCTACTTCAGCTCAGGCATTCTGAACAATTCAAACCTCTCTCCTGCCCAGTGGGCCACGCTGGTCTTTGTTTTACTGACCTCAGAGGAAGAACTGAGCGTTTTTGACCTGGGGAACTACACCAGGTCAGAGGAGGGGCTTCTGAGATTGCTGCCTGTGGTTAAAACAGTTCAAGTGGCAAAGTAAGTCCTTAAAATGGCACATTATACAGTAGTGCTTGAAAGTTTGTAACACCTGGAGATAAAACTTCTTGAACATGACATAAAACATGTCCAAAGAAATTAATCACAAGTCCAAATGTTTTATTCAACCTTTATTTATACACGCTAATCTCATTGAGCCACGAGGACTAATTTACAAGAGAGACCTGTTCCAGACCACCTAATAGTATACCATACCATAGTCGTACCTCTCAACCTCACACAGAAGCTCAGGCTCCTCCCCCACCAGAGAGGTTATGTTCCATGTCCCAAGAGCTAACTTTGGAAAGCCAGGGTCAGAGCACAAAGGCCCCACGGTGTCATGCACCGGACCCATATGGCTCCTCCTGTAGGTAGCCCATGGGAAGGCAAACCCACGTAACTCATTTGACTGATCCCCATGGGTGGAAGCCCGGTCACCAGGTGCTCGCCAATGGGCCACTCCCAGGCTTGGCTCCAGGGTGGGGCCCTAGTAACCCACATCCAGGGGAAGGGACATCGAGGTCCTCGATCTCTGTCCATGAGAGGGTTCTGAATTACTCTTAGCCTGGCCTGTTCTCAGGCCTCTCTAGGTGGTTTACATATTCCCTGGTAGAGCATGACATTTTTCGGGAATCCCACAAGTCACATGATTCCCACGGGATGAGTGAACCTTAACTCACGTGATTGCGATGGGACGTTTTTTTTTTTTTTTTGTGAGAGTGGGAGGGAACTGAAATTCTACTTCCTGTTTCCTTCCAGACTAAAAACTGGCGTGGTACGTTCACTGGTTTCTCTTAACTGTTCCTAGCTGAGAGTACTTTGGAGTACTTTTATTGTAGCAATCTGAGTGGAACTTTTTTCTAAATGTACATGATGACGTCATAGCTTTACCTCTAATCTAATCTACGACAGAAGGGTGCCCTTTCTTCAATTTGCATTTACATTTCCCACTAAATGTGCAAGATTTATCTGCACGATTCATGCCTTGTTTCCTGTTTTTGGTTCATTTACAGGGCAGTGCTACAGTGCCACATACAGGCCTGACATAGTTACTACACCGTTTAGTGACATTTTTTGTTGTTTTTATGTGGCTGAAGACATTTCTAGAAGCAGGGGCAAGTTTACAAGGATATTTTTGAAAACAACACATTAAAATATCATTTTTAGGAAAGAAAAAAAGTGTTGCTGTGTAAAAAAAAAAAAAAAGGGGGCCTAAATCTGACTGATGGATGACTTAAATAGGATAATTTTAATAAGTAAGTTTTTCTTGTTTGCACTCTTATTCAAGGATCACCACAGTGAGCAAACTTGCATGAAAGATTTGCTTATTTGTTTTATGCCCGATGCCCTTCCTGATGCAACCTGGGCTTGAACCCTCAACCTCAGGATTACAAAACTGCAGCACTGATTCTGAGCTACTGCATGCTGTCTTGGATTATAATTAGACTTTACTGCAATGAAATAGACTGAAGTGGATTATACATTCAGTGTCTTTGTGACTTTATAAAAGATTCTCATTTTAACATTTTGTTCTGTAGTTTGAATGCCTGTAACCTCACTGTGATGTGCTGTGAACACTTGTCCAACGGCATCAGCTCGTCCCAACTCAGAGAGCTGGACCTGAGTAATAACAACCTGACAGATGCAGGACTGAAGCAGCTGTCTGACGGACTCAAGACCAGCAAACTGGAGACACTCAGGTCAGCATGCGCTCTGCTGTGCCCACACAATTACCCTAGAAGTAACGTGGTCTTGTTTTGACTTAATTTTTCTGTTCTTTCAGACTGAAAAGCTGCAACCTCACAGAGGACAGCTCAGACAGACTGGCTTCCGTCATCAGCTCTGCCTGTTGCCAGCTCAGATTCCTGGATCTCACAGACAATGACATTCAGGACTCAGGAGTCAGAATTTTCTCTACTGGTTTAGGAAGTCCTCACTGTAAGCTGCAACAACTTGTGTACGTCCTCCATTTATGATTCAGCGGTTTACCTGTTTTTTATTTTCCTGTATGTGTTTTTACATTCAAACTACTTCTGCATGCTTTGAGCAGAAGTAGCCTTTAATAAATCAAGACATTCAGCTCATTCGAGAGATGGGCGACATCCTCAATGTTTAGCTTTTGTTGCATATTTCAGCAAGCCTATTGCTCCATGTAGCTTTTAGCTATTGTTCTGCTTTCCACTTTTTCAACTCAGTTTCAGCTTCTTCAGCAAAGTCATTTGGGCCTCAGTACATTTTCAAAAAAATCATAATTTGCCTTCTGTGTCCACCTTTTTAAAGTTTGTCTGGGTGTAGAGTGGCAGAAGAGGGCTGCACTTTCCTGGCATCTGCGTTGAACTCGTCCCAGCTCAAAAATCTTGACCTGAGTTTCAACCACCCAGGAAACTCAGGCCTGATGCTGCTGACGGCTTTGCTGGAGGACCCACACTGCACCCTGGATACACTCAGGTAAGTGATATGTTGATTTGAACCACAACTTCCCATCAGTCATCTTTGCAATACAATTAGCAAGAAAAGTCATTTCAGGGCACTAAACAAAACAAAGAAAAGAGGTTAAAATCATAAACCCAATTCAGATTCAGATCCAAATCCAATTATATACAATTCAGTTAGTAAAATTTGTCTATTTACAGTAAGTAAGCCAGCAGTTTGTGTCAAATCCTCACTGGGTCACAATCCCACATCCTGAACACCAAAACAGCGACAGTGGAAAGGAATGACTCTCTTTTAACAGGAAGAAACCCCCAGAGGAACCAGGCTCAGAATGAGAGGCCACATGTCTCGACTGTTTGGAGTTTGAGATGACAGGAAGGAGAATCAGACAAACACAGAATGACAGGGCGAGGTGTCGTTTTTTATGTGGAGACAAACAGAAAAACACGTTAATATCAGCACATGTATAAACATGGAGCTAAGAGCAAGTAAAGACAGCAGCAAAGTGAGGGAATGTGGTCAGTTTGTCCTCCAGCAGTCTAAACCTATAGCAACAAAATTTAGGGATAACTCAGAAAAGCTAGGTTGACCATAACCATAGGATTTATCAAAAAGAAAGTCTCAAACCTAGTCCTAAAAGTAGACAGGCTGTCAGCTTCACAGACTGAAACAGGAAGTTGGTTCCACAAGGGAGGAGTCGGATAAATGAAAGCTCTGCCTCTCATTTAAAAACTCTAGGAACCACAAGTAAACCTACAGTCTGAGGGTGCTCTGTTAGAAAAACATGAAGAATTTGATGTTTATTACAAGATGGAGCTTCGTTGTTGAAAACTTGGCATGTCAAAAGTAAAATCTGAAACGTTTGAATGTAGAAGAAACGTTCAATCTTTGGTGTGTTTTGTCTCAGTGTGGAGCAGTGCGGTGAATCCAGGATCCTGCCTGGGCCAAAGAAATGTGAGTAATCAGGATATCTGATTTTTAAACTCGTATAATTGATTGTTTCACACGTTTATTTGATCTGACATGTCAGATACAAAGAAACTGACCTTGGACCCAAACACTGCGCACAGAGATTTGACTCTGTCTGAGGGAAACAGGAAGGCTACACGGTGGACCAAGCAGGCGTACCCCGATCACCCGGAGAGGTTTGATTTCTGGACTCAGGTGCTGTGTAAAGAGGGACTGACGGGCCGATGCTACTGGGAGACGGAGTGGTGCGGGAGGGCCTGCATAGGAGTGACCTACAGACGGATTTGCAGGAAGGGGGAGGGTCATGAATGCTGGATAGGCAGGAATGACTTCTCTTGGGGTTTGAACTGCAACAAAGATGGCTACAGAGTTCTGCATGGAAGCACGAATGAAGTTGTTCCAGTTCAAGCCAGCTCCACTAAAGCAGGAGTTTACCTGGACTGGTCCTCAGGAACCCTGTCTTTTTACAGGATCTCTTGTGGTGAACTCACCCTTCTCCACACCTTCCACACCACCTTCACTGAGCCCGTGTATCCTGGGTTCCACCTGGCCTGGGTGGACTCAAAGGTGCTATTGTGCTAACACAGTTTTTTTGGATTTTCAAGAAATCTGGTTCCTGATGCTGAAACACTGAGCCTCATTGTGACATTTGAACTAAACCTGCTACAGTTTATGCATTTTAACATTAACTCACAACATAAAGACATAAATATCAATATCGCCCGCCATCAAAAATATAATTTTTGCCATTATCTCTATGCGTTAGTTAGTTGGTTTGTAGCCTTAGCAAAAGACCTCATGAACCTTGAGACAGATTTAATGAAACTCTCAGAATCATTTGTCGTTTGTCTACAATGGATTAACTTTTTGACTGAACCCCGTTCAAGATGGCTCCATCGTAACACATAAAAAATGTCTTTAACTCGGTCATTTTCACAGATATTAAGTTAAAATTTGCTGTGGTAGTAGATGAGCCTCTTTCACAACATGTACTCTGAGCATGACCTCTCACATTATTGCATGAGATCATGCATCACGCTACTTTCAAGATTTAATTTAACTTTGTTTCTCAACAAAAAATTGTCCTTGGAGGAATGTTGATCCTTTAAAGTTGTTTAAACTTATTATATATATTAGTTTTAATTACATGATTTTATAAAAAAAAATATTGACTGCATGTCTTAGTGTTTTGATATAATATTTATACATCATTGTCTCCCGTATGTGTTGCTTTTGTAAACAATTTTATAGAGTTTTATCACATGAATACATAATGATATATCTGATGGTGGTTTCCAACCTTTAGCTGTGTTTGTACTGGAAAATTTTGTACTACTATTTTTTTTTACCATATTTTTTATAAAATATCTATTTTATTTTATTGTAATATTTTATGAAAATAAACTTTTGAAACCTTATATTTTGTATATTGTTGTTTCCTCCAACTCCTCGTTTCAGATCAGTGTAAGTTCATGAACCATGATGCTACCACCACCGTGCTTACTGATCAAATTACTAGACCAAGTAAGATGAAACTGATGTTCTTGAGCTTATTTCTGACTTAATAAACATTTTCCAAAGATTTACTTAGGGTAACTAGTTAAAGTGTAAATCTTTCCATTTGGTATTGTGTTAGACTTAAAATGTATTTTTGAAATATTGTCAAATTCCATGTTAAAACCAGCATTACCAACAAAATGCAGCAATTCCTAAGCTGCAAATTATTATTTTTTTAAATAATTTAAAAAAGGAACACATAATTTCCAAGTTCCCTTATACATTTATCTGATCCCTAAGAATTACCTACATGTAAAATTGAATCCATTACTTATATGATTAAGCCAACAGGTATACTGTAATATTTTTATTCCACTATATTCTCTCAAGATGCTTGTGCTTGGGTTTATCACTCATATTGGGAGTCCCACAGGGGTGTGTGCTGAGCCCCCTGCTCTATGCCCTCTACACACAACTGCACCCCTGCTCACCACAGCAACACGTTAGTCAAATTGCAGATGTGTGTGTGTGCGTGTGTGTGTGCGGGGGGGGGGGGGGGGGGGG